GTTCTTTCTTCTGCTTCTTTTTTATTACATGATAACTGAAAAACCAAAGCAATGGTGTCAACAAATTTCACTGAGGTGACATAGTTTCAAACGGAGTATCCGGTTTTATAAGTTTTATTAATAACTAATAGTAATTAAAAAACGCATAATTCTAGTGTAAACGATGTTATCATTACCCCTTGAAGTTAGCTTTTTTACAAATATTTGATGTTCTTTTAAAAAGCTTAAGTACAGGGTGAAACAGGAATTACCAGAAAATAATAGATAAACAATAAATATTACAGTTGGAACCTTATTGTATTTAGAACTTGATTATAAGTACAACCTTCCTATATCTATTGAATTAAAAAACAACAACAAGCAAACAAGTAAAGAAAAAATATTTTCAAAAAAAAGGAAGTAAATGTATGGATGGCTAATATCAATCCTTCAAAAACAATGCAAACAAGATAGTAGGGATGGCACTTGCATCATCACTAAATAATGGCACAAGCACACAGTGTAGTAGAGTGTTAACAGACAAAAACAGGATAAATTAAACTCCATTGTGTCTGAATAGTTATATGTATTGCTATTTGTTAATTCTTGCTATTAGGTAGGGATGGTGCAAATGCCATCTCTACTATCCTGTTTACATTGTTTGTGAATGATTGATATTAGCCATCCCTGCATTTAATTCCTTTTTTGAAAATATTTTACTTTATATATATATACACACAGTGTGATTATAAAGAAAGTTTCGCAGTTCAGCACGTCTTATCTCACAAATAGTATAGCATAGAAAGATACAATTGCACAGCGGGGAAGGTGTGTGTGTAAAGTTATCGTGTAGATGCAAATGCCACAGTTGTTATGTTGCCACTAGGGATGTCATTGTACTTTCCTCCACATGTTTCCCATAGGTATAAACGGGCCTGTAAATCGCAGTGTAGCTCATTCAACCAACACGAAACTGACAAGTGTGTAGAGAGGTGAACTAGTTAAAAATGTTGCACCAAAGAATGCAGTGCTGAGGAAGCTTTAAGAAAATACCTTAAAGTACTTCACATCCACAGCCGGCCTTGTTCCAGTGTTGCCGTGCGTATGTTAACAAACACAATTTGAGGAGACAGGTTGCAACCACCGATATCTACCGAAACTATTGCTAAGGTCAGCCAATGTGTAGCAGAACAAGTGCACAAGGGTACAGCGGAGCACGCTCTGTCGCCTTGTGTCTGTAGTTGCCAATTTTGACTATTCATAAAGCTCCTCGTCAACTTTGCAGCTGTGTCCTTACAAGACACTTATTCAGACACTTTAGGAGATATATTTAACACAACATGTTGATTTTTCGTTGCAGTTATTGGCAAAACCGGAAGTCGATGACAGATGGCCTGCCAATAACTTATGGACTGATGAAGAGCACTTCTCCATTTCTGGAAGTGTCAACACATACAACTCTTTATCTGAGTGAAAACTAATACACATGTCAAATTTCCTTTACACCTCCATGATGTTAAGGTGACAGTGTAGGAAGTTTTCGTAAATGACTTTGTTGTTGTACTTCAATTTTTTGAAGAATAATCAGCACATGGAATGCAGATCCACATAGTCTGTGCTATATGGTACCATGCAATAGTCACAACCAATGTGGTTCACATGTTGAAGTAACGAACTATGATAATTACTACGGTTTTCATACAGGATGGTGCCCCACCACACATTGGTAATCAAGTGAAATACACTTTCAGAACAGAATTATTTCACGTCACTCTTCTTGTGAATCACCATCTCGTTCATTGGATCTAACTGTCAGTTTCTGGTTGTGAGGGTATCTGAAGTATCATGTGTACAATGCTAAGCCTCGCACAATTCCACATCTCAAGGATGCAACTGCTCAGGAAGGGTCCAGTATAGCAGATTAGATGTGCATTGTTGCTGTAACTTCCATCATTACACAGATACAATGCATTTTAAACGTTGGAAGAGCACATTTTTAATAGTTGCTGTGATTTGTCAGACAGTGGGTCACACTGGGGCTCCTGCTGACAACAAGTGCAAACTGTGGCAATAAAAATCCCTGTGTTGTTTCACCTTCCCATGCCATACCGTTTGTGAGATATTATGACGAGCTGATCTGAAAAACATTCTTTATAATTACCCTATATACATAGTTCAAAAGTAAAGACACGGTGAAAATGGCACTGCATTCCACTACAATAACAAGATATTGTTAAAACCTAATTTCATTCATAGCGTGCCTTTAAAACGTAGAAATTTATAGGACTTATTAAGACGGTAATATAACTATCACATTATGATAAAATAATTATTATAAAGAAACATGATTAAATTTAGTAACAAAGTTGGCCTTGACATTCCAGTGGAACTCTAGAACCAAAGAAGGTAATATGAAAGTAAGGACTACGATTTCACAAAATTGTTTCTGTCCAACGGCACACTTTTACTTTTAGATTTAGCACCACAGTTGCTGAGCCGGCATTAATGATAGACTTCATTGATGAATGCTTGAGGGCATCAAAACTTTGGGGGCACGTAAAATGGTGCTGTATTGAAGTGCATAACACAGTAGTTATGTAAAGAAAAAGCCAGAATAACAATGTCATGTGGCAATTTCTTATGTATCTAAAAAATAGACAAACAAAAAAGTATCTATTTTTCTTGACCATATTGTATGATATATTCGTCAAAGTTTAATGAACTCAATATATGAGGAGACAAAAGTCGGTGTTCAATTTTTTTAAATATACTGATTCATTGTTCTCACTGTACCGCTTTGTAGGCGATTTTTTAACCATCCTAGTATTTTACTGACGTGTGACGAACGTTTCGTAATATACTTATTCCATCATCAGCAAAATCTGAAAACAAGGTGTATGGGCGCCTGAAGAAAATTTACATTCTTAAAGAACTGAAATTTTTGAAGATTTTTTTTCCAAATACAAGCATATTCAGGATGACTAAATGTATTACAATCTCAAATCCCGTACTTGTACAATCTCGTAAACTGTTTCAATGGCTCCACTTTAACAGTATATAAAATGTCTATAGAAGACCAAATTACAAAGTTTGACCTCGACGTATTTCTTATTCACTGCTTATTTGTAGCTTCAAAAACTGCGATAAAAATGAATAACTAAGTACCTTTAACAATAAACTATAACCGTTTCGCTTCTTTCATTGGGCTTTGTACCTCGACAAAACAGTTCGTATTGGGAACTGACATATATTTAAATCATGAATTCCTTTTGAACTTGATAAAATTGTTTGTACTCTGTTATTGCATTGTTCATGATAAGTATTACAAACATTTCAGAAATTAATAAAACTTTCTGGTGTACCAAATTATAAAAATTAAACTTCGTATATTTTACGATAATATCAGAATATCATAAAATATCGTTTCAAAATAAATATAACGGAACTCAAGTTAATATGGTATAATAAATGTAACTGAAATAATACCTTCGCTATAAAAACAAACAAACTGAGATTAAATTACAGCTAAGTCTGTAATCACATAGTTCTTGCGTGCAGGAACTAAAATATAGACCAGCGGCCAATATGCCAAAAGGGCTCTAAATCTTGAAATACTCCTATTTATAATGTAGCAATATTAAATTAATATGATATTCTACTCTGGTCTCTGTTGATCACGAAACGTAAAATTGAAGTAACCAACTATCTGCAGAACTATGGGATTCATGTTTTCGCTCTTTGGTAGTTATCTTTAGTTTTCGTTGCTAAGTGCAACAATGTTTAATATCAAACAACTGTATGAACAGCATCAAAACCGTCTGCCATTTATGGCAAAATGAATTGAAATGCTAAAAGTCACAAGTGTCTTTAACATAACAATTGTTCATAAACACAATTACGTGTGAAATGTTGCCAACACGGAAATTTACTTATCTGATGATAACTTGCGTTTATATTGGTCAAGGAAAAGTTTAATTATAGGTTGTACTTATGTATATGCTAGTCATATGTTTGTTTTAATGGTAACGTACGATAATACTAACCAAACTTT